GCTTCCGTTGAGGCCCGAGGACGTGCGCGAGAACGATCAGATCAGCCAGGCAACCGTGCTCCGGCGTGCCATTGCCGCACATGCCTAGGACGAGGGACCTGGAGTGTGACTGCTGAGCCTGCTGCGCCTGCCACGCAGAGGACGGGTCGTGGTCGCTCGCTCCTGGGGCGCATTGATGTTCGGGTTCTGCAGGTTGAACGTCTTGCAGCGTTAGAGCGCCATCTTCCCATGGCGCTGCAGCGGGGGCGTCTCTGGGCCGATGGGATCAGTCTACCCCTCAGCGGGGGCAACGGCACTGCTATCTTAACGTTGCCAACCATGACCAACCAGACCAACTATGCCATGCCGTGCAATTCACCCCAGACTAGCCCATCAACCAAACCAATCTTCCAACCAGTCAGCTGCGACTGCGGCGGCGGACAAGGGGCGCAACCTTCGCATAGTTTTGAGCCGACTCTGGCGCAGAACTTCTGGAACGTCTTCGCGAACAGCCTGTTGCACCCCTCGAACACGCCCACCCAGTCAACGACTTCCTCCTGCCGAGTCCACCTTCTCAGAGCAAAAGGCTTGGGCGCAGACCCGCACAGCGCCTGGGCCCCACATGCGAGAAATTTCCGAAGGCTGTCCTCGGGCCCAGAACAGCAGCCAGAGCAGAAGTGCACAACCTTGTCCTCCGCAATGGACCCTGTGAACAACGCCTCCACGATGGCCCGCCTCAGCTGGATAACTCTCGCATTCTGGTGCCAGAAGACATCGAGGAGATCCTTCAACTCCGAGCGGTATGATGGAGGCGGCGACCCACGACGGTACTCGAACAATGACTTGATTCAGTTCCGAAGCTCCTGTCTCATTATTACCATCGCAGATCCCATGCCAATGGACAATGATACATGTATCAGAAATGATACGTGTGCTTTGAAAAGTGTCGTGGTCTTCTTTCTGGTTCCAGCTGACCTGTGGACCTCGCACTTACACCTCGTGCTGTGCAGGTCGGGACTCCCCAGTGCAATGCCAGCCTCGCAACGACCGAGAGCCCCGTCATCGTCAGTCGTGGCGATGCGCTGAACGCGAGCGAACACATTGCATACATTTCCCAATGGCAGTCGACCCATCTGCAAACAGCGGTAATAACACCCCCCTTGCTTACTCATCATGTTCTGCAACCACTGCGGGAAGTCAAACTCAATGCACCAAAATTGCCCAGATGCAAGAAACAGCATGGCGACCGAATGTTGGGAATGGCACAGTTTAGCGATCAAGGAATCCTCATCAGCATCGGTCGGGCCGAGAATGCTCTGAAGCTTGACGCTACGGGCAGCGGGCTCCAACCTGGCTTCCGAAACATCCGACTTGGTCCTGAATCTCAACGGCGTTTCGTCGTATCGACTGAACTCAGTAAGGCAGATCAAGACACCAGTGGGATCTTTGGCGACATCATGAGCTACATGCGCCATGGAAGACAATGCGTCCATCCTGCCGCACAACAAGGCGGCCATCGCCATCTCAGTGTGAATCGCCCTCACCCTTTTTCCGATCGACGTTGCTCAACTTTGCCCTGGCAGCTTGGGTCAGCGTGAGGCTTGGGTCAATGAGGTACGACTGAACCAGCTTATTATTAAATTGATCACCTCGTTTACTATCATGCGTCAACCTTTGAATGCAACGACCTATGTCCACGGCCAGTCGAAAAAAAAAAAAAAAAAAAAAAAGCGTTGTAAATCGTGCGTTGGAAAACTGATTCGCCCACAGACCTCGGAACCACATCCGCAAATTCGCCGGGGAACGCTTGCAGGAGGCATCTATTCCACGCGCCTGGCCCGCCGACGCCGTCGGCATTTGCGTCGGGAGGGCCTCCGTCGACGCCCTGGCCCCCGTCCTCTATAGCCAGCATCTGGGCATCATCGCCGACTGAGGCGCGAACCCTCTTGGCCAACAACTTCAACAATCGAACGGCAGAGATCGTCCGGCGCGGATCGGCTTCAAGCCCTGGTGGATCGACCTCTGGGTCGCCATCTGAATCATGCGGGGCTGCATCGACTGCTTCATGGATATGAACGTCTCCGTCATCACATGGCGGCGCTGGATAATCACCAGCATCATCGTGACCGCACGATATAGAAGATGGGCAGCGCCGCCCAAGCTGTTCGTGCGATTCCTCGTCGGATGAGATTCTAAGGCTGCGCCACCCGAGGGCTCGATCTGACCCTGCTGGCGAGCCGAAGAGGCTGCCAGTGCTGTGGTCATCGCTGTCGGACATGCGTCCAAGACATACACTTCAGCATCGCCAAGAAAGTTCAATAACGAACATGAGCCAAAATGGCTACGGGCGGTGACGGTGACCCACGTTGACTGTGAATTGCCTTCGCAGCAAGACCCAAATGAAGACAAATCCGCGGACCCCTCGCGGGTCCCCAGGCTGTGTTAGACGGTCGCCCACGAACGGCCCACTCCTCCCAAGGGGCCGCTCGGGGGGGCCACCAAGACAGCCTATGATGGCGCCAAGACAACCAATGATGGCCCCAAGACAAGCCCAAGACAGCACATGTTGGCCCCACAGCATGATGGTTCCAAGACAGCCTGAGGCAGCCCAAGACGGCCCAAGATAGCCACAAGACAACCCTATGAAAGACGGCCCGAAAACAACCTAGGAGAGCCTAAGACAGCCCAAGACGGCCCAACAGTGCCCAAGACAACCCAAGACAGGCCCAAGACAGCCGTATGAAAGACGGCCCCAAGCCCCAAGACAACCAAAAACATCCCGAGACAGCCTGAGACAGCCCAACACGGCCCCAAGGCGGCCCCAAGATGGCGCCACCACAACCTAAGACAGCCCAAGACGGCCCAAGACAACCCTATGAAAGATGGCCAGAAGACAGCCCATGGCCCCAGACATCCCAAGGCAGCCCAAGATGGCCCCCAAACAGCCCAAATGGCGCCAAAACGGCCCAATGACGGCCCCAGTATGGCCCCATCATGGACGTGCCCGTCCCGATCTCCAGCAGATTCTTAACATCTGCTGACTGAGGCTGTGCGCAAATCACAACATCAACCGTTGTGTTGTACATGGTGTGTGTGCTAGAACACATATTATTTTATACCGACTCAAAGACAGCTTATTTGAAAATGAGAATGTCAACTTTGTAACAACTCAAAAACAACTTTATGGCGTGGAGTTCTTGGGAGAGCTGTAGAGGGACATGTCCATCATAAGTTTCTGGACAGGGCCAGTTTTGATGCTCAACCCGTGCCCTTGGCCCCCCGGGTTACAACAACAACGGTTCCCGCCTCAGACTTCCTCACAATTTAGCCAAGACCCCCGTTCCCGCCCGAGACTTGCTCGCATTTGATTCAGGAATCGCGCTCTCGCTCGGGACGTCCTTACAATTTACTTAGGAATCGCTCTCCCGGCGCTCTGGAGTCGAGCTCTCGCTGGAGGCTTGCTTGCAATTTACTGAAGAATAACGCCCTTGCGTGGGAATTTCCCGCAAATTGCTCAAACGCCGCGCTCCCGACACCCAGGCACCCAGGAGTCGTGCCCGTTGTGCCCCCATGTGCATGGCCTTCGTAGCCCCGTTGTCGCCGTTTGTAGCCCCCTCACTGTCCTACGTGGCCCAGTTGCTACCCTCAGTGGCCCCATCGTTGCCTTCTGTGGCCCCGCATTATCTGCCCTTCGTGGCCCCCGCTCGTTCGCGCTCTTCGTGGCCTCATACGCATTCCCTTCGTGTCCCCGCTGTCGCCCTTCGTGGCCTACTTCGTGTCCTTCGTGGCCCTACTATCGTTCTCTCTCGCTCTCGCTTTCGCTCGTCGTCGGCGTCGTCGTCGCCGTCGTCGTCGACGTCATCGTCGTCGTCGTCGTCGTAGTGGTCGGTCCCCTGTCCGTCTCTCTTGGGGTCGGGTCGACGGTCCGCGGCCGCCCCGCCGATCAGCGCTGCCGCTGGCCAGGCCGACGGTCCGCGGCCGCCCCGCCGCTTGCCGGGGCCCGGACTGCAGGGAAACAAGGTCCACCCCCCAGAAAGGGTTCGATCGAAGACGAAGAGGGCGGGTATCAAGGGTCTGGGAAATACGCGTTATTGGACACTCGAGCGGATAAAGGCGAACAATATTAAAATGATTGTTGTTTTTTTTCTTTTTGTTGTCGTCGTTCCCCCCCGCGATCCGGCCCGCGACCGGCCCGCGACCCACCTCGCGACCCACCCGCGACCCACCCCGCGACCCGCTCGCGACCCACCCGCAACCCACCCCGCGACCCGCTCGCGACCCACCCGCGACCCACCCGCGACCCACCCGCGACCCACCGTCGACCCACACGCGACCCACCTGCGACCCAACCCACCCGCGACCCACCGTCGACCCACACGCGACCCACCTGCGACCCAACCCGCGACCCACCGGCGCCTGCGGCGGGCTCGTTGTATAGCTTGAAAAAATTCGAGCTTGCGGCGGGCTTCTTCAAAACCTCGCAGACTGCCGACGTCCCCGCCGCCCCCTCACTCTTATCCGCAACTGCGTGGTGTTACAGTATTAGATATGCGCTGATACCAACAATAGCTTGATGCATCGCACAACCCCGACATAACTTCACGAAAGACGGAGAGGCCGATTACGGAGCGCCCAGGTGGTTCCCCAAGAGAGCACAAGAAGGCCCCACGAGGTCCAGGAAAGACCCCCAAGACGGCCAAGACGTACATGACAAAGGCAGCCCCCGATGACACAGCAGGACGGCCCAACAAGACCCCTCGAAAGCCCAATGGGGGCCCGAGGTGGATCCCCGAGAGGCCTCGTAGGGGCAATCTTCCAATCTTCGGAAGACCCTCTTCGGCCATTTACGGGGACATCTGGGGTCGTCTCGGGGCCCGCCCGGAGCGCTCAGTTCTCAGCCTCCCCAGCCACACCATAACAGATGCGTTTGCCTAGAAACCCATGCAACGAGGAGCCTCGGTCCTCGACCCCTGAACCCAGTCAGCCTCAATATCGGATCGGGTGGCGGCGCGGGCGCTGTCCGAGGAGCGCGGCCGCCACGCCGAGCAGCAGCGCGGCGCCCAGCAGCCGCAGCACCTCTCCGCGTCCGCCGCACGCCGCGGTGCCACCATGGCCCCCCCCATCGCGGCCTTCGGTGGCCATCGCGGCCTTCGGTGGCCCTTGGCGGCCTTCGGCGCATCTCGCGGCCGAGGAGGGAGGATGGGGAACAAGCCCTGCTGACGTCCCAACCCCACGAGGGGCCAAAGTGGGGGCATTGGCAGAAATCTCAAGAGTGGGGGGCAGCAGCGGGGATATGGATCAAAAATCGGTCGCCATTTCTTGGAATTCGCCGGCCCAACGGGCCAGAGGCGTGCTAAGATCTCCGGTAACTACTTAACAATATTTCTAGTTCGCGCGCGCGGGGCGGCCCCTGGGGGGCCCCGGACGAAAAGTACCCCGGCCGATCCCCGGCTGACCCCCGGGCGATCCCCAGGGGGGAGGCTATTTTTCGCCACCCCTCACGAGGATCGTGGCCTCCGAGGAGGGGGGCTGCCAACGACTACCCCCCCCTCCCGCCCAAAGGGGTCCCCAAGAGCCACCCAAGAGGCCCCAGGGGAGCCCAATACGCCGCCAAGGAGCCCCAAGACGCTCCCAAGAAGCCCCCAAGAAGCCCCCAAGACGGCCCCAAGAGGCTTCAAATAGCGCTCCAGGGCCGGCGGAATGAGCGAAGCGATTAAATAATAAAAACGACATAACATGTCAAATGCCGAAGGCCCGCAAAGACTTCTCCGATGAGGGCTGGACTCCCGTCACCTCCCCAACCCATCTGCCCGGCGCGCGCAGCGTGAAAGGAAACGGGGAGGGGTGCCCAGCGCAGACCTGACAAAAACCCTCGCAGACCTCCAGACATGTATTTCATGCCGTTTCCTTTACTCATATACTATACGGCGGGTTCACGTCACGATGACGCTGGCGTTGGTTTCTGATACCGCGTGGATCGCCCGACCTTGAACGGGCGGCACATTCCGACAGCGCAGATCGTTCCACATGGGCCGATTCTAGGCTACTCGCGGCGTTCAACCTCGAAACGGCCGCGATGGGGTCGCCGCCGCATCAACGCTGCGCGAGCCTGGCGCATACCGTGGAAGAAAACGGTGATGGGAGAACGCTTGCACGGCCCCTTCGCAACCGCCTTGGCAACCCTCTGCGCAACCCTCCTGGCACAACCTGTGCAACGAAAAGAAGTAAGACGTGATATCCTCCAAGAGCTCCTCTCGTGTGTTATTTGGCGAACCGCGCCATTGCATGGCGGTCGGCCGGCTGGTCGGCGGGGTGCACACACGGTGAGTTAGGGCTCAGCCAGAATAAACGTGATGTGTTCGTGGAGCTTGCTCTTGACTGCAGAGTGGAGCTCGGCCCCATCCTTGTTGCGACGCATGTCGTCCGATGAATCTTGCTGCGCCACGCCGTCTTGCGGCCATGCGCCCCTGCAGGCCCCTTCGCGCGCGCTCTGTGGCTGTGCGACCAGTTGCGCAAGTTGCGGGTGCTCCCTGGCGCCTCCTCCTGACGCCGTCGTGCCAGAGCGATGGCACGACAAAGATCCCCCTGGCTCGGGCGACCCTGACCAGAGCTCGAAGCCAGCCTCTGCAGCGCCTTGGTCGCCTGCGCCGGCGCCCGCGCTCCCTGGTACTGCCCTCCTGACGCCGTCGTGCTGGAGCGTGGGCACGGTAAAGATCCCCCCTGGCCTGGGCGACGAGCGAGCGAACACGAGAAGTCCTCGCCCCGGGGGGGGGGGGACGGGTCGCCTGGTGGCCAGTTCGGGGGTGGGGGCCAGAGTCCCAGCCCCGCTGTTTCATTCACGCCATTGCCCGTTGTCCGCGCTCTGGTCCTCCTCCTCCACGGCCAGCGAATGAGCGTCTGTGGTCTGCATGAGCCCTGCTCTCGATCCCCGCTGAGCTCTGCTGTGGCTCCTCTGAGGTTCAGCACCTCCGCGCACTTCTCGCGCTTCTGCGGGCCTTCACAGACAAGCGGCACCTCATCCGCCTGCACTGGGCGGGCGCGCGCGCGCGCCTCCTCCAGCATGACGCAGCTGCCGCTGCCGCGACGGCGCCCGCCAGCAGCGCGGCTGCGCCAAGATCAGCGCGCCCCACTGAGGCGCACGTGCCCCGCATGTGCGGCGCACGCGGGGAGGCGACGTCCTGCGAGCGCTGGGCTGTCTGGTGCCGGTGCCGGCAACCAGTGCGAGATGGCGTGCCAAGGTCAGGCAGCTGCGTCGGCACGGGAGAGATAGGTTCTTGGAGCTCTTCTCCGTCGGTCGGTTACTAACGAGGTGTAGCATGACTGCCGATTCTCCGAGTGCATGGGAATCGGGTGCAAGAGGAAGGGGAAAGACAGGGCAGCAAGAACGGGGAAGAAAGTTCACACTACCCCCTCCTCCTCCTTCTCCTCCTCCTCCTCCTCCTCATCCTCCTCCCCCTCCCCCTCCCCCGTCCCCTCCCCCTCCTCCTCCTCCTCCTCCTCTCCTCCTCTCCTCTCCTCCTC